TTCCGATCTTATTTAATTATATTATTATTAATATATTAAATATAATTATATCAATATAATGTAATAATATTATTGTGATATTATTAATATAATTATATCAATGCAATATAATATATAATATATTATAAAATAATAGTTACAATATTAATTATAATATTATTGTAATATCATATTATATGATAAAATAATAATATTAGAGTTATTAATATAATTATGATATTATTTGTTATAATATAACTATTATATTGTATTATATTATATTATGAGTCTGAATTTTAGTTTGTGAAGATTGTGAATTTTAAATTTCATTAGGGGTATTATTGGTATTATGAAAGTTTTATTAATTGTATTATGTTGATTCTCTCACAATCTAAAAGTTAAAGTTGTCTTTAGACTACTTCTGATTTTGACTGTAGATTCTTAAAAAAATTTTCAAAAAGTACTTTTGAGTAGATTTATCAAACACTAAAATCAACTTCTGCTACAAGCATAAGCTAATTTTGAGAGAAAAAAACAATACTAAACTAAGCCATAATCAAATTCAGTCTAATTTAAATAGTTGCGATAAGTTGTAGAAGCTCAGTCAATTATCAGCTTCAACAAATTGAAAGAGAAATTTGCCTCGGGTCCATTTTGTTCACGAGTTATTTTCTTGGTTTATTTTTGTATTTGGATTAGTGGGATTCCTTTCCAATTTTTTGTTATTATGTGATGGAAATGTTTGTTTCCATTTGATTGAGCCGTTTGGATTTCCGAATAAAGACAGCAGAATAGGACGGCACAAACCCAAGGGACAAACTTATCCCATCATTGGAAAAATGGAAGTTCCAGGCTTTGTTTTCTATCATTTTCTAGGCTAATGTTTTCTCAGGACAAATTATCCGAGAGCAAAAAATATAAAAATAAAAATAAAAATAAAAATAAAAATTTTAAAATTATTCTTAGACTTTGGATGCCAACAAAAAATTTCAGGCATAAAAGGAGAATGAGGACCACTTTGTCAGACTGTATGCTTTGCTTTACACCTTCCGTCCATTTAAAAGTTGCAATTTGGTCCACCATGTAAAGTAGTAAGTAATCATCAACACCACAAAATCACATCCTAAGCTTTTCCATCCTTAGAATTACTGTATTGCCCCTACTACTTATCTAATTACCATGCTATGAATTAGCAAATGAGATTTACCGTGCTATATGCACACGGGACTACAAATTTTGTCAAAACATCTAATTAAATTTGTCTTTTTAAGTGTAAAAATGCGGCTTTTAGTCCTCAAATTATTGTTGCAGAGTCTAATTAAATTTGTCTTTTTAGTGATTGTTTAGCTCATATAGCGACAACCTAGATCCTACAAATAAACGATATAGACAAATATGCTAATTTTTTTTTTTTTTTTTTTGGTAGATGATCACTTGACAATAGATTGATGTATTACTATTACTTGATATAAAACTTAAGCAAAATAAGTTTAGCACAAAAAACCAGTTTTAAAGGTTTAAGGGACGACTTTATCACAATAGCATGACTTGTATAAGATTCGTGGAGAGAAAGAAAAAGAATCAAAGAGAAAAGAAACGACTCCATACAAGAAAGATAAATAAAAATTAAAGGTTAGAATTACATACCGCCAGTTTTTTTATTATTATTATTTTTTATTTCTACGGTAGAAATTGTTGCTGTAACAATTGAATTAATTTTTTAACTGTTTCATTTATGATTCAAAATAATTATGTATTGGACACAAATTAAACTGTTAAAAAATTAAGGGGTTGTTCTTTTATATTTTTGAGTTAGGCATTCTTAAGTGAAGATTTTGAGTTGTGTTTGAGTTATAACTTGAGTTTGTATTTGGTTGTGTACATTTGAGTTATAGTTTGAGATAATAATCTTTTTGAGTTTGTGTTTGAGTGAGTCAAAACTTGAATTTGTATTTATATAGTATTTTAATAAAAACTCAATGGTGATGAAAAATTTTAATAGGGTATATGGGTGGAGTTTTATTCGTCTTTTCGTTGTCAACGTATAGAAAAAAAAATGTCTCAATCAAGATTAAAACGAAAAAGTTATAACATTTTTAAGAATAGAAAAAATGTTGTTCATTAATTTGAATTCGAGTTTCTGAACTCGAGTTGAAGGGGAAACTTAAACTCGAGTTTTAGTCCCAAACTCAGTTCAAACTCGAGTTCAAACTTAAAAAAATATGAACTTAAATAAAGTTGTAACTCGAGTTGCATTTTTTAAAATTTTTGAGACTGCAAAACACACCCTAACATGTAATTTTTGAGGCTGCAAAACACACCCTAACATGCTTAAACTAACGGTTGCTAGCATAAAAGTTGCCATTTTTTTTACTGCTACTATACAAAAAATTATCCACTTTTAGATGATAGAAAAATCGATTCATCCTATAAAAATTTGAGATACAAAATTTTAGGCCTGGTTCATTTCGTCAATATTTTCCCTTTATTTTATTTTATTTATTTTTATTTATATTTTTGAAAGCGCCTGAGAAAATGTAATAGGTATGCCTCAAATTTAGAATGGGACCTCTCGTAAATATCTTGCATCTTACACCAACAGTTTTTTTTTTTTTTGAATATTACTCCTATAGGATTGATTAATAGGTGACTGTTAACCATACATAATGGACTTTGATTTGACAGAATAGACATCACAACTAATTCATCAAATCAACGAAAACATCTTAATTTCAAGATGAGAAGTTAGGAAGTAGAATGGAAAAGGCAAAAGCGAAAGTAATAATTACAGAGCAACCACCGCCATCTCCAACAGATGGAACAGATGTCCACCCCAATGTATGTTAATAACAAAAAAGAAAGAGAGAAGAATTTAAGGAAAAAAAAAAGTACAATGGGGAATTATAAAAAATAAAATTCACAGTTTGGCTGCTAAGAAAAAAAGAAAGAAAGATTTACGCCCAAAGATGAAACATACAGCAGAACGCAAAAAAAAAAAAAAAAAAAAAAAAAAAAAAAAAAAAAAAAAAAAAAAGAAAAAAGAAAAAAAGAAAAAAAGAAGAAAACCGATTTAACACACAGAGTATGGCCATAGCAAAGCAAGGTTGTCATGATTCTACAAGAGCCAATTAATAATGCGCCTCAAAATCCAAACTCAATCAATCTGCTTCCTTGACAAGATCAGGGTGAGGATCTTCTCTCAAGCTGGAACGACAAAGCTCCTCAATACGACTTGTCACTTCAGACATTGTGGGGCGCTTATCAGGGTACTGAGCAGCACAGTCTATTGCAAGCTGCAACATCTGGACCATTTCTTCCTCAACATTTTGGTACCTCAAAAGCTCAAGATCAAACACCTCAGAAGTCCATTCCTCTTTCACTATGGACTGAACCCATCGAGGAAGGTCGACTCCTTCCTCATTCAATAGTGCATGAGTTGGGGGCTTTCCTGTTAGGAGCTCCAATAGGAGTACCCCAAAGCTGTACACATCAGCCTTTTGGGACACCTTCCGGGGGTCGGTCACCTCTGGGGCTCGATATCCTGCCACACGGTTGGGGGTGGAGGACGGGCCGACCAGGTGTGCTAGGCCAAAATCCGAGACCCGGGATGTGTAGGATTTTGTGAGAAGGATGTTTGAGGACTTTATGTTTCCATGGGAGACGTTGGGGCCTTGTGAGTGGAGATATTGGATGCCGCGGGCTGCACCAAGGGCAATGCCGGATCGGATTTCCCAGTTCAATGGTGTCCTGCCCGCTCCTTTGTTTCCTGCATTCGAAGGTGAAAGGAAAACACACATTGATGGTAGCCTAGCGAACATGATAAAGCTCAAAGGGCTTCTAGATCAATATGTTATGTACAATGAGTTGGCTTAAGAAAGCATATGTTCCGGTTTCTTATAACAAGGCTTAAGAAGCAAAACAATAGAAACAAAATTGAATTAATCCCAAATCACATCAATACACACTCTTTAAACTACACCCATTTCATTAAAGACCCAGAAATTTCACAATTGTAAATCAAATCCTCAATGCAATTAGAAGCAAGCTAAACAAAAATATAATTACCAAAATTGTGTTCTACAACAACAACAAACCAAAATTGTGTTCTAATGGAATTATAATAAAACAGAGGGGTCCAAAAAAAAAAAAAGAAAAGAGGAACAAATCCGAGTACCATCATTCTAAAAAACAAAGGACGAAACGAAAAGAAATCATAAATACCCATCAAATTAAAAGCCAAAAATTGTAAAAAAAAAACAAAAACAAAAAAAAAGGAATGGATGAATGAAATTCTGACCATGCAAAAGAGCAGACAGGCTTCCCATGGGCATGTAATCATAGACAAGAAGCTTCTCATCTCTGCTGTAATAGAAAGCCCTAAGAGGCACCAAATTCTGGTGATCCATAGCCCCAACAGCTTCAATCTTCTCCTTAAACTCCTTATCCGAAATCGTCACATCCTTCAACCTCTTCACAGCCACCACCGTCCCAACTTCCAAAACTGCCTTATAAGCCGTCCCAAACGTCCCTTTTCCCAAAACCTCCGCCGAAGCTCTCAGCAAATCCTCCAAATCAAACACTCTCGCCGCATTCCCAAAGAACACCAACTTCTTCACACCATCAACCCCATTATTACTCACCTCAGTCTTCCCGTTCCCCGCCATTGCCGCCGCCGCCGCTGAAGCCACCGAAAACCCGTTGTTGTTGCTATTGTGCCTTCCATTCTCCGTCTCCGCCGGCTTCTCCCCCCGAGCCTCCGATTCCGGATGCTTAAGCGCCGCGACATCGACGGAGCTCGTCTTCTGAATCCTCTTCTTCCTACAAAAAACGATCAGGAGTATGATAATCGCCAACGCGGCGACCACGCACCCGATAACAATCCCGGCGATAACTCCACCGGACAAGCCTTTCCCTTTTCCGTTTCCATTAATGTTGACTTCTCCGGAGGGTATAGTGACATTATTTCCGGGACAGAGCGACAGCGGCTTCCCGCAAAGAGAGTTTCCAACAAAAGAAGCCGACGAGAATGTCTGCAGCTTCGCCGGGATCGAGCCGTTGAGTAAGTTGTTTGAGACATTAAACTGGGCCAAATCCGGAAGCTTAAGCTCCGGAATCGACCCGGAAAGCTGGTTGTTCTCAACGTACAATGTCCTCAACCGAGTCAGATTGTTCAACGACGGTGATATCTCGCCGGAGAAGTTGTTGGAAGCCAAGTTAAGACGGACAAGATCGCGTAGAGTGAAGAGAAAGTCGGGGATTTCGCCGGAGAAGAAGTTGCCTTGAAGGTAGAGATTCCTGAGGCCAACGCATGAGGCCAGATCTGAAGGCAGAGAACCTTTTAGGGCGTTGAGACGAAGACTCAGAGTTCTCAGAACTGTCAAGTTGCCGAATATGCCGTTCGGGAGATTCCCAGAGAGAGCCACGCCGGGAAGACGGAGAACAGCTACTCGGTTGTTCTCGCATCTGACTCCTGCCCAATTACATGGGCTCTGAAGGGTCGCATTCCACAGAAGAGTTCTTCCTCCGACGGCTTTGCGGAGAGCTAGAAGAGCTGCTCTGTCGGAGCTCAGATCTGGCTTTGCAAAAGGAACAAGAACAACAAGAACCAGAAGGAGAAGAAGAAGAAGAGAAAGAGAAGAGAAAATGGGAAGCCTTTGAGGCTTCATTTTTGCTCTACTCAAACCTCAAGTTTTGTTTTGTTTTTTTTTTTTTTTTGCTTGTGGTGGATAAATGGGGGGGTTGTGTTGTTCAAAGCTCTCCAGGCATCGCTTGGTTTTGGTTTTTGAAGGGTCAAAACTCACAGGCTGTTTTGGACAACCTGCATTTTGGTTTTGGTTTACTTTTCTATCTTTCTTTTTTGTTTCTTGTCTCTCTGGGTTTTTGGGAAGAGAGAGAAAGAGGAGTGAGAGAGTACAGGCTGTGTGAGGTGAGGTAAATAGAGAGAGAGAGAGAGAGAGAGAGAGTACTGAAATGAGTAGAAACCCTAGTTATACACAGTGAGTGCGAATGAGGATAGACAGTCAACTGATTTCTCTTTGCAGCTTTTCTTTGTCTTTTCCTTTTTTTTTTTTTTTCTTATTATCTATTTTTACATAACTTTCTCTAACTAGCTCTTAGGGGTAATATTAGTTTTTAATTGTTAGTAGATGTGATTTAAACTATATGAAATTTTAAAAAATATAGTTAAAAAAAAATCACGGATGGTTCAATTTCTTCTAATCCTACCACAGTAACTCTCATTCTTTACCGGATATTTTTTTTCTTCTGTTTCAGATTTTCCAATTGAGTAATATTTATTGAGCTACAGTTACATTTAGCTTAAAAAGATGGAAAAGGAATATATATATATATATATAAATATATATATATATGTACTGTTACGGTTACACTAACCTTAACATGCATTTGTTCTAGCTTTTGTTTTTATTAGATTTTTAGTGATGCTTTTATGGCAATAAAAGATTTAAAGCGTACACTTTTCATAGGGGAAGAGATTTTGTTGTAACATAAAAATATCACTTCTATCTATCTATAAATTTATGAATCATATTGATAAACTCTTAAACACAAATAAAATAAAATAACTTAAAAATAACTCTAATTATTTTTTAAAAAATAACTGTAATTTTAATAGAATTTTAATTGTGTTTTCTATCTTTTTGTATTCAACATTTTTTAGATTTACTTTGTTGTGATATTGTTAGAGTAAAGGTAACCGCCAACAAAATTAATAAAGACCCCGCTCATTTCACCGATTTGAATTTAGAATTTGAGTTTTGTTACAATAAAAAGCTCTCAAAAACACACATATTTAACTTTTTTGTTATAATAAAAGCTCTCGCATAAAGTCACATCTCAACTCGAATCGGCGAACTAAACAGGTCTAAAATGAAGGATGGATACTATTCGTAGTGGAGAATTCCAATACTTTAAGCCATCGACTATAATTGCATGCCCTTTAACTAATAATTTTAACGTGGTTAGACATCTTAAGCTGAAAATTGTTTGATGAGAATTTTATGTCATTTTCACTTAATTAATCCATATTTTATGCATGCCTTAAATGCAGTTCTTCTTTTCCATTTTTTCTTTTTCTTTTCTTTTTGAAAATTTCTCTGGTGTTTCCTCTTTTTTGGGAACATCAGTATTTTCTATTTATCAGCCGTTGGATATATATATTACTTTTTCAATTTGATTTAATTTTTAACCAAATTTAATACAAATATGACCTTTGATAAACAGGAAACACTGGTGTTTCTAAAAATGCGAGAACACCAGAAAAGGTCCCTTTCCTTTTTTTAGGTAGTTTTCTTTTTCTATTTGGTACTTAGAACTAAGAATATAATAAAAGAATATTTGAGAGATATCACAGTGACAAACTACCATTTTTCTAATTCGACCTAAAAAAAGAGAAAGTTTATCATGAGGGAGGGGGAGTTATTAACCTACCATACCAAATTTAACTATTTTTGAAAAAAGAAGGAAATGTCTTTGTTGTTCTTTTTTTTTAGGACTATTGGTGTTCTCTCCTTATCAGCCACCGAATCTGTATTACTTTTTCAATCTGATTCGACTTTTGACCAGATTTAATAAAGATCTGGCAGCTGATAAGTGGGGAATAGCTGTGTTCTCAAAAAAGAGGGAACACCAGAGAAAGTCCCAAAAAAGAAAAGAAAACAAATTGTTAAGGTCTAGTAGATTTGAAGGGATGATATGTTGGGATTGACACGTGTAAACACACAGTTTGACGGAAGAGGATCCAACGTGGCTGAGCTTCAAAGTAGACAATGATAGCGGGACCTTCCACGAAGAAGTGGAGTCGGTTAGACCTAAATTAGGCTGAAAAACATGTGTCCTAGGGCCTTCTTTGTTGTCAAAATGATGAAAGTGCCTTTCAAAAATGTTAGAAAATTCGCATAGACAAATAAAACGACTTCTGAGATGAAGAATGGTGGGAGGTGCAATAAAGTAGTTAATGGAGATGGATATTAAGAGGCCGAAGATGCCTTAACAGAGCAGTGCTCTAGAGACAGACGCAGGCTGCTCCAAGAGCAAAGAGAGTGACTTGAATAGTTGATGAGGCTTGATAGAGGGTGAAAGTGAAGTTTTGAGATGGATAAGACTCTGGTGAAATGAGCTCTAAGAGCAGACGCGAGTTGCTCTAAGAATGCAAATGATGCTCAAAGCACTTACTTCGATGGTAAGCAAAAGGGACCCCGAAGATGCAGACTTGAGTGTTTCTGGAAAATTGGATGAAGGAACTTCAAAGAATTTTGGGATGGTGGTGGTGGAAGATCGAAAAAGTGTTTTAGGAAAGTTGCTAAGGCTGTCAACACTTAGGCACTTTCAAGAACTTGAAGAACTTTGAGTCTCTTTAGCAAGAGACTAGAGAAGTTTGAAGGGAATTGACTAGAGTATAGGCACATAGAGATAGAGAAAATGATTTGAAGATACGGTAAATTCTAATGATAAAGAAACTTGATAGCTCCTGACAAAATGAAGGAGATGGGTATTTATAGGTGAAGTTGGTAGGATTTTGTTAGCAACTTTGAAGGTTGTACAACATGCTCTAATGGATGCCTGCACAAATAATCTCGATGGAGCAAAACCATCTGGCACCTTTCTAGCGTTGAAAAAGAGACTGGCCGAAAATGAAATAGGAAGGTCTAAGAATTTGCTTCGAAGGTAAATCAGGTACGCTCTGAAGGAGGTATGTACATGCGATCCCAATGGAGCAAAGCCATCATAAGCCTTTCTGGAGTTGAAAAATAACAGGTCCAAAAATGGGAAAGAGGTTCATGGTGGCTGCTCTGAAGCCCAATCGGCTGTGCTCTGAAATAGAAGCCTGCACACACAATCCCCTTTAGAGCAAAGTGATTAGGTGTCTTTGCGAGTTGACAAGGAAAAGATCTGAGAATGGAAAGACTCTGAGGCAAAGTTTCAAATTTGGAGTTGACATGAAGGGTTTTTAGGTATGAAATTCTCAAGAGTGTTTGAATCAACTTTACGCTTCGTTGACTTCCTCTTTCGAAGGTCAGATCATGTGTCATACCTCATCTGAGATGGTTTATACAATAATGGCTAAGCAGCCGTTAAGTTTTCTTTGACACGAAAGTTGCTTCGAATGAAGCTGCTCCGATAGGTGAGTATGCTCCAAACAAAGGCTACTCTGAATGAAGCCGCTCTGATAAGTGAACGTGCTCTAAATGAAGGTTGCTTCGATAGTGAGCTGGGTGAGAAGAAGTCCATAAGGATGCCTGATACGAAAAAGGCTCCGTTAGGCATAGATGGGCAGGAAGAAAATGCTCCAAGAAACATGCATGCCATGGAAGGAGCCTTCATTAGGCATGTTTGGCACGAATAGATGATGTTTTTGAGGATATGCTTGTCACGGACAATGACTTCGTTAAGCGGTTCCAATACGAATAGAGTCTCCATTGGAGTCAAAATACTAAGTCAACTTTGGTGAATAAGAAGGGTTCTAAGGCGTGGACTTAGAGATTTTGGGCTTCCAAAAGGACGAGAGGAAGGCTTTTAAGAATTCTCCATCACTCATTTGTATTTAATTCGATTAATTCGGAAACCCCCTAAGCGGGATTCAAATTAGATTGAATTAAACGTCAAATGGACCTACTTGATGCATGTGGGAAGAAGGTTTTACCTTTTTTTATTTGTTTAGATTGTACTTTCATCATTTAATATATTTTAAGATCCTAACCAGCGAATATTAGCGTGGGTCTTTTCTACTTTGCTTATCCTCTATTTGGTAATTGGTATAAGGGATGAAATATAGAACAGAAGAAGTACAATATCAAAATGGTAGAAAATAAAAAATAGAAAGAAGATTTATATTGAAATGAGTACTTTGAGAAAGAAATGAAAAAATAAAATATATAATGAAATTTTTACATGAATTTTTTAAAAACAATTTTGCTCACTTTATTCCTATGAAAGTGATTTCTTTTGCATGTGTTTCTATTTATTTTTTTGGTCAATGGTTAAAATATTTTCTTCAAATCTGTGCCACCTTAATCGTTTTTCGTGTAATTCCTGTTATATCAAAAATTATATTTACATATCTATTTTCTACAGTGCTCCCATAGAACACTTTTCAGACTGCTATGTTGTATCCTCTTGCCCCTCGCCCCTCCCCTCCCCCTCCCCCTTCTTCTTTTTTCTTTTTTAGTATTTCTATTTTTATTATTATTTTTATTTTTTAAATTTTTAAATTTTTAAATTTTATGATTTTTTTACCGTTTATCTAACCTAATAAATATAAAAGAGCTTAAACTCTTTTCTATGGTGCCAGCCCCTCCTCTTACTTCTATTTTTTTTTCCTTTTTTTTATCTTTATTTATTATTTTTTAGATTTTTTTATCAATGTTTTTTTTATATTTTATTTTTTAAAAAAAATATTTTTTTTCACTTTACTCTTATGAAAGTAATTTTTTTGCATGTGTTTCCATTTTATTTTTTTATCGATGGTTAAAATAGTATTCTTCAAATGTGCCACTACTTGATTTGTTTTCATATAATTTCTGTCATATCAAAGGTTATCTTAACACATAATTTTTAAAATAAATTCTAAAATGGCTGTACAAATGAATTTCTCGTTATTTTGAAAACAATAAACTTTTCAGTTGTCTCTAACACAGCAATATGTGCAAAGTACGTTAAAAAACTAGTAATTAAAAGAGTTTTGATTTAAACTTCTCCTTTTGTTTCTTAAGTAGATATATCAATCAAATCAACATTTTAGAGATCACACAATTGCCTAGATTGGTAAAGGCAAATAACTAAATAAAGGATACCTTAAATGTTTTGCGTATTTTCTTCCATTGGGATTTTTGGCTATCCCATATTTTAACCCACATAATATTTTGAGATATTTATGCTACATGCCACAGATTTCACAGTTATATTGGCTTTTCACAGGTACTCAAACAATCAGAATATGTACTATAGTGACAAG